CCTATTTAATTTGTAAAAGCTTAATTTTTACTCCTGAATATTGTCAAAAATAGCATATTACATTATAAAATTATGATAAATAGCAATTTATAGCATTTGCAATAAACAGACTGAAAAGAATAAGGTTTAATCCAAGTTAAAACTTCAAACTTTAAAATATAATTATCTGAGAACAGCAAAAACAGACATTTTGTTTTGAAGCAACAATTAGTGATTTCTTTGGCTAACCAGATTGGCAGTTAACTGGATTTTGTTTGAATATCAAATATCAATATTCGTATAATAAAAACCGACTTTTTTGACTTTTGACTTTTATTTGAATTTTATTAATGTTAAATTACATAACTTAAGTTTTCACACCAATGTTTTCCGCTTTCAATACATCATTGTTGTTGCTTACATTTATAAAATCCAATCGTTAAAAGTCATGTTATAAAATGAATCATAGAAATAGTTTAATTTATAATATTAAAATAAATATTTATATAAACACTATAAAATTGTATATAATTTTCTTTGATAATTTAAATGAAATACGTTTATTGTAAAAAAACTTTAGAAATAATTAGTAACTTTATTTAAGAACTTTTCACATGCGAAAACATTATAAAAAAGTTTAATGTTTATTTCAAATGTAATTCCTAATAAATAAATTCTAAATTAATAATAGTAATTTAAAATTGTTTTCTCTTAGAATTTTAGTTTCCTAAATTTAGTTAATTTGTGAATTAATTAAGTTTAAACAAAACACTACATTCATTGAAATTTGGAAGATCCTGTATTCAGAGAGCGTCACTAATGACAATAAGTACTAACTACATTGGTTGCAAAACCGTCATTCCTGACGAGCAAATATTTAACCGAATAGCGGTTAACCGCAAATTGATGGGAATTGTTATCTGGTTTTTTAAATGGATACTAGCAAATACACTAGCAACAATATGTTTTAGTTAAAACTTTTTTTGTATTAAAGCTAAAGTATGTTTTGGTTAAAACAATATGTTAGTTAGACAAGCCACACCATGCATTCTATTTTTACGCGCATGCACTCTTTTTTTAACACACACACATATATATATATTAAATATGTATACATATGTGTGTGTAAAAATAAAATGCATTACATGGTTTGTGAGTTAAAGTAGAATTTGACTAATTTCTAGTTAACAAATACTGTTTTATATATATATATATATATATATATATATATATATACATATATATATATTTTTATAAAATACAATATTTTCTATAAATTGAAATAGCCTAATACAATTGTTTCTTAAGTAAAATATTTCTTCTCACATACAAAAAAAATTTGGCAACAGTAGCGCTTTCCCAAATTTCTCCAGCAGCAGTTTCCCGGATTTCTCAAGTAAAACGTTAAACAAAAAAAAAATAATTTGCATAACTTATTATATAAATTAATTATAAGATATAATGAATGATGATTGATATTAAACTTACCATATTCTTTTCTAGACCTAAAATAAAATGAAAACAGATAAAATAAATTAACACTACAAATTATATCATTATTATTATGATGATTATAATATTATTATTACTATAATTTTTATTATTTCTATTATCACCATAAACTAAATATATATATATATATATATATATATATATATATATATATATATATATATATATATATATATATATATATATATATATATATATATATAATTATATATATATATACACAAGTTAAACACATTTTTAAAACAAGTTAACATACAGTTAAAACAGAATCTTGTTAAACAAAACTGTTTGTTTAATACACAGTTAAAACGGAACCTTGTAAAAGAAAGCTGCTTGTTTAACACACAGTTAAAACGGAACCTTGTTAAACGAAGAAGCGAGTTAAATAGCAAAAAAAAAAAAAAAAAAAAAAAAGATTTATAAATTAAAAACATACATTTTTAAAATAAATAGTTTTTAAAAACATCGTAAAAATGCAACCATAAAGATTTCAAATTAAACCAAATTTATGCCATGACTCTAAAATTATCAACGGTGTCTTTATTGGTTTTGTCCATAGAGCACTATGTTTATGCACAATAAATAAGATTGATGATAAGTTGTGCTTTCTTATCAATGTATTTTAAGAAAACAGCTATGAGAGGTAAAATCTGGAAAAACTATTTGTCTATGAAAGAAAGTGTTAACAACAAAAAATCTCACCAAAAATCAACATTTCTTATTGTCTCCAAAAAGATTTGTCTTTACTCTGGATCCCTGGTATCAGTCTTAAGTTAAGAAGGATATCTAAAAAGACAGAATATAAACCAGATATTTAAATCCCCCAAAAATCCATTAAACCTTTCCATTCATTTAGTTCCAAAAATAATCTATTTAGTTCCAAAAATAAACCTCCAATACCAGTTAAGTCCTCCACTACCAGTTAATTCATATTCAAATGTTTACAAATAAAAGTGCTCTTATGGCAAATGTAGTGTTAATGAAACAGGACTAAAGATATTATCTCACATATGCCATATTGGATATGCCAGCGTCAAACATGTGCAAAGCAAAGTAAAGGGGAAAATTTAGCTGTCGCTGACAACTCCAAAATTTGCTAAGGAAATTTCCACTAGAATGGTAGCAATACCTTAAAAATAGAAGTAAATGGTTTTAATAGGAAAACTAGGAAAGCATTAGAAATACAACACAATGAAAGTACCTTATGCGATAATGGTCTTAGCCAAAATGATGGTGACTATGTGACGAAGTCAAACCTTATTTTTAAATAACACCACAAAAAACTCTCCTGAAAATTTCCTAAAAAGAAGCTCTTACAAAAAACATTGTTTTGTAACGGGTAATGCATAAGTTATCTGAAAAAATAAAAACGCCAATAAGTTATTTATAAATAAAAAAAAAACTATTATATTATGTTTTTTAAAGTATTTATCTTTGAATAAAAATAAGTTATTTTTTAAATGAAAGAACATCACCATCAGACACCTTTCAAGGCTGTAAAAATGCCTGTTCAGCTGCATTTAACCTCTTTTTAAATAATTATGCTTCAAATAACAAAGTTTATATTTTATAGAAAGTTTATGCCTACATAAAACTACAAAAAAACAAATTATTATGGTCAAGTAATTAAATTCAGATTTGTCCAATAACTTTTTATCACCCATTAAATTTAAATGGTTCTTTAAAATATAGCATTTTTTTTTTAAATAACGGTTTTTATATACAAGATAACCAGGGTATAAATATCCCTTCGAAATATTGTAAAAATAAATATATTTTTAAAAAATAGGAATAAATTAATAAAAAGAAGTTTTATCTTAAAATATTATATATATATATGTATATATATATGTATATATATATATATATATATATATATATATATATATATATATATATATATATATATATATATATATATGTATATATATATATATATATATATATATATATATATATATATATATATATATATATATATATATATATATATATATATAACCTGGGAATTAGGTAAAATGAGGTCGGCAATATTTTGCCGATCTTGATCTTTTTAAAGTCGGCATTAGGTCAGCATAAATTATTTGATACAAAGGTCTGACCATAAAACATAAAAACGAGGTTGGCAAAAAATTGCCGACCTCAAAAACTTTCAGGAAGGCAGTTAGGTCGACATTGCCGAATGCTGACCCTAATTCCAAGGGTTAATATACATCTTTTTTTTTTTGCTGTTCAACTATCTTCTTTACTGCTTGTTTCAACTGTGTGTTAAACAAGCAGCTTTATTTCTGGAGTCATCTTTGTTTTGCAGTTCGCTTTTGATTTAGATAAAGTTCATTTATGATTACAAATTAGACTATAAGAAATAAAAGATCTGCTTTTTGATAATAATCAGGTGGAAGAAAAATCTTTAACAAATCAGATAGATTTTTATTTTACATCGCTTTAAACAGTAAATAGTTATTTTTCATTAAGCCCCAGAAAAATAATTCAAACAAAATATTAAAGCATCTCACAAATAATCAAAATGGTTATGGCATACTTGATGCCACTCATTACTCACTCTGCACAAAAATTTGTTGAAAAAAAAAATTATGAGATTGGCTATTTTACAGCTTGGCAACTGCAGAAAGATCTTGCAGTGCATTGAAAAAATAAAACATTTAAAGACTTTACAATTGGGCAAAAACAAATGTCCGTGCAATATAAATGAGAGCAAGTAAAATCGTTTAAAATAGAACTTAAGAAATATTTAAAAGAAAAGTTTGAGAATCAATTGAAATTTAGTGTAACAAATGTGAACCTAAAAATGGAGGTATGAATTTAGATGATAATCAGTACAAAAAAACAAACAAAACACAATTCTGGATTGTTCTTAAGAATATCTAAAATGGATTTGTCAAGAGCCATTCAGGTGTTTTCACTATCTGGTTCTTTGCTTTTTCCTAAAAGACGTTTTATCACCTTGGTTATGCGACTGAATCAAAGCAACGCAATATATAGCTCTATTAATCTCTATTGTGTGTATTTCTTCACCTTTTAGTAAACTTGGTACTGATGTTTATTTTCACCCCTGTTGATAGTACATGTTGAAACTGATATAAGATTTTTAAAAACCTTTAGAATAGAGAGATGAGGATGAATATTATTTTCACCAACAAAACAAGTTTCTAACATGTTCTCTCATTCAATTAGCGAAGATGTTGCAAACTTGCATGCACACTTAATGTTTATATATAAGATGGGATTATATTTTTTATGCATAAAATGTTAAAGCCATCAATTAATCAATTTTATCTAATAAATCAATTTAGAATTCAGTGAATAAAAAACATTGAAGTAAAATGGCCTAGTTTTGATCTACCAAAACCTAATTACAAAGAAAGTAGAAAGTAAGATGATAGGTACTAATAAGTAGAAAAAGATTAGACAATAGATAAGACAAAGATGGAGACAAAAAATCAATAGCTAACATAAAAGGAGAAAAAAAAATAAAGACATAAAATGTG